AACCCCGAATGGAAGGCTGCTAAGATTTGCAGAGACCATAGCAATCAAGTTTCGATAGCCCCCACTGTGTTAACAGAAGGAGGTCTACATCAGTCCGACGTTGCCCTGGTGACAACGTAAGCGGAAGAATGAACTGAAACCATGTGAGTAATGGAGGATTTGATTAAATTTAAAATGGGAATTAGTCGCGGATATAGCAAATGAAGCGTAAACTGAAAATCTGGGAAACACTGGATAGCTGTTTAGACCTAGTTGGGTCTCATCAGCAGTGGGAATCCATCGAATCCATCATGGGCAGAACGCAAGCATACTACCCACTACGCTACCGGGCAGCTGATCAGACCGTTTTTCATTTTCCATTTACACGATATAGCACAACCATCTTTGCGAGCTTGTTGCGGGCCACAGACACTGCTCATCTCAGCACTGGCCCCAGTTGGGTCGATGGATTCGTACTGCTGATTAGACCCAACGAGATCGAAGCAGATATCCAGTGGTTCCGAGCTTTTCAGTTCACGCTTCATTTGTTATGTACATGACGAACTCCGATTTGGAACTGATACCATGTTAGATTTCGATGACCTGTGATACATAAACTATTTTTTTCTGTAGTAGCTATCGATTGATATACAACGAAATGATTCCGGAATTAAATCCTGCTTGTCTGCAGTGCTGTGTTCTTTGTTCAAGTCAGTCGAAGTCAAGTCAAGAGTGCACTTTATTCATCTAATGTGACAGAATTTTCAGTGAAAAGAATAATATCGCTTTTGCTTTGGCATGCGCACCATTAAAAATGAGCTTAAAGATATGACAAATATTTACTGAGAACGCGTAAAAAAATAAAGAAAAGTTCAAGGTGAAAATTTACATTAGATTATGTATAAGTTCGGTTGATATTCTCTCCCTAGAAACCAAAAAACGTGAAAGCTAAGGTACAACGGAGTTGGGAAAAGCATTGGTATGAGTATATGAAGGTTCAAATTTATTGCGGGTTACAGAAATTGAAATGGAGCTAAATAGGGCTGCGTGTCAAGGATGTGATGCATCGGACAAGTTAGAGTCGCACAGACGGTCACACGCCTTAAAGTGTTGGTTGACAATGGAATCAACCAGCTACTCATAAAATACAGCTCCAAATCTAGAGATGCGTTTCAGAGAGCGTCTAATTAATATGAAATCCTTAGACATTAGACCGGGAAAGATAACGGGAGAGCAGTATGTCCAATGACATAAAACGCATGAGAAAATAAATTTGGAGATGATGTACCAAGGCATCCTCAGACGTCGAAGGTGTGTGTTGACTTGACTTGACTCCAATGTATGGTTGTCGAGAGAATCTTGTGCACTCTTCGTAGCAGCCTGATACAACCAGCAGGATTGTATAACACTTGCTTCGTTGATTATTCATCATCACCCGCATCCCGGGATCAAGCAACTGCACAAATAAGCATCAACGTGAACTAGGGAATCGTGCCAGTGTTGAATCGGCTGTGATTGTTTATTGCATTACTATACTGATTCGTCGTGGCAGCGACTCAGCTATTTAATCATCCTGAGTAGAACGCATGAAGGCCAAGGAGATCCTATATTTCTTGGTGAAGACCGAAATCTGAAAAACCATTCTCATATTTATTGCGGCACATACAGTTGACAAAAATAAACGGAACAGTATGGTAGTTCCATCATACATGACCTGTGCACAAATATGCTCTAGCCTAAAGTCGTAAAATCTATCGTCCATTACATTACAAGTAGTCACGGGTTTTAGTTGGCTATCCGGTCAGTTTACTAGTGGGCGATATTTCTCTTCTTAAACAATGCGGTGCTATCTAACGCAGATGAAACAAACCGAGCTATCTTTTTGCCATGTACTGATAGGTTTTGGGATTCAGTGCATAAAAATAGGGCACTAATTTACGCTAATTGAAGACCACACTGAGGAAATGTGCACTATCCGGAGGAACTTTTTATGCTTGACAATTTAAGTGTGTCGGATATCGAGACCACCCGAAACGTATTTCTAACCAACAGATTGATCCAGCTGACCAGTTGCACTGTCCGTGCATAATGAACCAAGTAATAATGTCTAATGATTCTTTTTTGTTCAAAATAATCACCCAAAACTAGTTTATCGTGACAACGTTTCGAAGAAAGTCTATTTTATTTAGTATCATGCAGTCGGTAGATTAACAAACCTTTTTATTTACCTACTTGACTATATTTTATAATTCCACTTTATGTATTTCATTCAACAAGCCTCCAGCCGTGTAAAAATTCAGATCTTACATACCTCACTAATGGAATTTTATGTTATGTATTTGTGTTCTACTAGGTGATCTACAAGGTAGTTTCTGTTTAATGTTTAATTACTGAACAAATGGAGGTTAGAAGCCACATGTGGCGGAAAAATGCACTATTTTCCGAAGCATATAGTTTATTTTTGTCAATTACTTTTTCAGCCATTCCTGACTAATTGGGATAAAGCACGAATGAATCAGATGATGATGGTGATGCGTTCTCCGACTCCAAGTACCATTCACTTGTCGTGAAAGAGCAATCGTATTTGAAGCCTCGGACAGCTGTCAGACAGCTCAATGAATCCTCATCGATTCACACAAGGATTGCAGTAGGCAGAGAATATCACCATCATTGATATTTCAGCACAAAATGAACAGAATGCTTGTAATCACTGGAACATATCGTTTGTCAAAACAAAAGCAAACAAACAATTAATTTGAACAAGAGAAACTGCTGGAGGGAGGAAGCAGTCGTTTATTTCATGTATTTTACCAATGATTGTGATGAAACACACCAATAAACCGTGGATAAATGTATCATAATGTCCAAAATGAATGCTCTGCTGCTTGCGGATTTAGCGATGAGTACTGAAATTGATGAGCCCTGAGTACGTCTGTATGTTGCGCAAAAATAAAAGAGCTGCTTGGCTGTGTGCATGCGCGTAGAACCGTGAGATGCACATCCAAATGGAGCTCCGTGACCTCATTCTCCTTCACATATCCACTTTCTGTTTGACGATTGAAGTTGCCTGACGAGGACCACTAAGGGTTAAAGGACCAATTGAAAATTTAACTTGAATGGTCTGATAATGGGCTCTTTCACATTGTTCAACTGGTTTGGGGACAGTGCACGCAATTCAATCAAACACTTCCCATTGATGGAGTCAATGGCATAGGAATAGGGGTTGAGCACAGTACGAAAACATGAATAGCGACGTCCAGTTGATCCGCCCAAAGAAGCTGCTAATCCCGAATGGAATGGTTCAATACGATGCTGTATTTTGCTGTTCTTCTTGACTGAACTGAATGTTTCATCTTCCAAACTGGTTATAGATACACCTGGAACTTCCGGCTCGAGGTAACATCTAAAAGCGTTAAAAATGATAATTGGGCAACAGAATATGTGTGACAGTAAAATGTTCATTTATCAAAGAAAGAATAGTTAAAAACGCGAGACATATCTAATATAACGAACATATGAAACCTAAATCTGTGCAATCTGATCCCTGGTGTTTCCTTCTCATTACAGAAAAGTGATCGCTGAAAGACCGCTTTATTCTTTTCATATGAACTCACGTGGACACTATTTAGTAAACAACCAGTAATTAACTTGACCCTATTCCTTTTGTCTATACACAGTATTACGCTATTCATCTCCCCTTTTTCAAGCATTCGAACTTGTTTATTTCGGCACCATTATGATTCGATCAGAAGGTTTTTAAACTTCACTGTTAGATACCGTCCTGTGCACGAAATAAGATTCTAGATTGAGTGGATAGATGGGCATTTTTTGGGAGACCTCAAATCTTTAACACAGCTGCCGAGAGTTTCCGAGCATTGTAAGACAATCACTGTGCGATTGGATTCAAGTATTAATGTCACCAAAGGTCACCATACCGAATACGCCGCCCCAGCTGAGCCTAGAGGTCACAACAGAAAGTGGAAATTTTAAAGCATTGGGCTTATGGATGGCTAGTGCAGTAAACCGTATATCCTACGAGCATGAATCTGAGGTCTCGCTTCCATTCGAATCAAGCGGCAGTTCACATCCACCTTCTCCCTTAGGTCTTTAACTCATACTTTAGGAACTTGAAGCACTGCGTCCCGTTTCTCCACTTCATCAATATAGGAAGAAGACATATGTCGCGAGATGTTATTATTTCACTTAATCTTCTCAATCGCTTACTTAAAACAAACAAGCATGTACATATCACATGGGGTCATTCAGTTATGGTAAATGAACATGTACATTCATACAAAGGTTACTAAACATAGAAGTAGAAGGTTAACGCTACGGTAACTAGGCCTATATTTGGAGTTCAAAAATAGTGTCCGTGTGTCTCCTTGGGTGTTACTGGGTTTCAAGAAGACGACCTCTAAACAAACAAATCGGTAATTCCGGTCAGCTGTTGTATGAGCCAATCGGTACTCTGGTTGTAAACACACACGTTCACATCTTTCAAGCAATGGATCAGGAGTTGAAACTCTGTTGAAAGCGAAACTCATATTTGAAGCTTGTGGAAGGTGCAACTGATTGGAAGAACCGAGTATCTTTGTGTGAACATGAAGCCAGAAATCTATACAAATTGTCCAGCTCAAGTTCTCAGAAGTAGCTGTGATTTGATGATAAATGTTTTAATTCTAACTCTCGTAGACATTGCATTATCGTCGGTCAAAGGAAGAAAACTTCCAACTACCTCCTCTAGTTATATTTCACATGAAAAAGACATGAATTTGTATCATAAGCTAAGGAAAAAATAATGTGCTTGAAACCTCATGGTCATCGGTGAAAATATATTATTTAAAAAGCATATGTAGCACGACAGTACCTGTTAGGTACAGATTTTTGCTGCTAAAGTAAATGAATCGATTGCCCTCAACAGTATTAATTAGTGAAAACCGTGTTTATTGTAATGGCCTAGTCATGGACAAAAGAAGATGAGTCTAGAAATATTTTCGTGTTGGTGACAAGTGGACCTGTCTAACCCAGACTCTAAATGTCATCATTGGAAAGCTGTGTGGAATTAGAGCCTTATTTAAAAATGCCAGACAGGGAGGGATAAACGATATCACTCACAAAAAGTCACAGTTGGTGTCTCCGTAGGTGAACAAAACTCGAATGCTTGACTGAGGTTCGATCCAAATCAAGTGGCCAGTCTCCGCGTACAAGTGCACCACGTCCTCGTAAATACCACTGCAAAAAAACACGCGATGCGTGTAAAAGATGTCTCAAGGTGGACTTTAACTCGACTGATGGAATGCGACAATAATCAATTTCTAATTTGGCCAACATTCTGATAACAAACGCTATTGCGCAGTCGATATTAGAGAAACATCACCGATAAATAAGGCTGTTAATCTGGGCACGCCAAGAAGGGTGAAAAGAACGATGGCGAAAATGTGGTAAATAGCCTCGTGGAGAATCGAATTTACGCTCTCTTAGTGTTTTCTTGACCAACTGAAATTAGTATTGGATCGATGGTCTTTCATTCATATATCAGAAGTGAATATCAGAATGTATGATCGATTCGTCAAGGCGATACTCAAACACATACAACTAAATATAGAGGACTGAGTTCACTGATCTATCTTGTTTTAAGGGACACAGGTTTTCAGTGAGAATTGGTCTACATTGCTTACATTTTGTACGCAGAGATGCAAGTAATAACATTTTGTTGGATGTAGCTTTGCGAAAACTTTGTAGTATTTACTTATAATGAAACAAATACCTACACTGGTATAATGAATCTGCATACGTATGTATGTAATATTAACAAAATGTAAATAGTTGGTACGCTAAAATCATGGAACAAAACATTCCTACCACAGCATGAATTAGATGAAGATTAAAAAGATATGAATGCCTAAAGAGATAAGGTTTCTCGAAATGCACTTTACACAATGCGTGTTTGCTTACAAGAATCGAAAATTGTCTTCACACTACAATTATTCATACCCACGTGCTATTGTGTCGGGTTCTCAAACGCAGTGAAATCTACGCCATTTTCCTACCATTTCAAGTACCAGGGGGAAAAGCCACCAACTGAGAACAGTTGTGGAAATAATGGAATTTCTGAAAGTGTTATCAACAAACTAAACCACATGTAACCGAGATTAGCTTTTTCCGTACGCATAGTTGTGTGCTGTTAGGCGATAAAACACACAGGTTAGCATGTGTCCGGGCTACATATGTACGTTGTTTCACTTCGTCAAACCACCATGGCGATAGGCCTAACACTGATGCGTTTCTCGGTGTACTGCCCTATAGGTAGGTATTCCGCTTGGACCTCCAAAAGTGGGCATTTTTCATTCACGTGTTCCCAAAACTGGGACGAGCACAACCACACCACACGCAAAGTAAACCTCAGCATGCATCCATCTCATGCTTGATCACATGACCTGATTGCTGCTCGAATCTGGATTGAAAACAAGGAAGGGGATTGCGTATTTTTTGACGTTAGGAAAAATAATGGCAAACAATTTCTTCTGAATTCAAGTGTTTTATTATTTAATGATAAGAAACAAGGATTCCAAATATTAGACACAAAGATATTCTACTACGTTTTCAAATCAACGTTTCTTTCCTCACTCTACTTGTACCACTAAAATGAGTGTTTATATAAATAATGCGAACTATTGTCAAAACAACATGATCCATCCCATGTTCCATAAACTTAAATTTCACCGCATTTGGCTTCTTAGATTACACAGTAAAACGGTTGCTCGGTTAGATGTCGTAAATAACATCACTGGATTCTATTTATGCGCGGTTCGCACCAAGATGGAGCGACAGATGAATGAATGATATGATAGCTGGTGTAATAAAAACAATGTTGAGATAACTTGTCTGGTCACGATGTTGGCATTACAGTCCGAGGAAAGTGCACAAACACACGCACACGCACACAACTTATTCATGTTGTTCAACGGTTCTTGCGTGCGTTTGTATTTCTTTTGATTCAGTATTGAAAGTGCATCGTGTTTCGTGCATCTATCATCAACAAAGTGCCCTTTTTGTTTGTACTCAAGAGGGAAATGCCCTTGTGCAAACAGATGCTGGAGTAGTGGCATGCATAACTGGGAAACATGGCGGCAAAATGTAGTTGAGGAATTAACCATGAAAGAAAAGGAGGTTAACTGGTGTTGATTTATTTGCACCGATCTATTTACAGCCTCTAATTCCGTTTTCAGTTTAAATTTAGACTGGAAATGAAACTCGCCTAGGATGAATAAGAAGTCGGTGAGTGATACAACACTTCCGACAAATAAGGTGTAATAAAATACCCAGTTGGGTTTTACCAAAAGTTTACAGATGGGGCTGTAAATAGCAAACACCTATAAAACAACCGATAATGCTGTATTATGTAATACTCTGGTTTGTGACAAGTGCTGCAACTCAAGTGAACTCATTAAAGTGATTCTGCACGAATGATAGGGTGCGACGGGAAAGTAGACTTGACGTGCATGTGATATTTCAAGTCAAATATAGACCCTCATGCACAAATGTACTTGCGTTTGTTACAATGGAATGCTTTTCATTTTGGTAATAGTATCATGAAAACGGCTCTGACTGATCTAAAAAATACTGAATCAGAATTATATTAAACATTTTAGAGAAACCGTGAAGTTTTATCGCCATGGTGAACCGTGTATGTGACATATTGGAACATAAAACCCGATGCAGTTCTCGTCTTTCCTTAGCATCTAGGATTAACTAGTAAAATCAAGTGTTGTGCGGCAACACCAGATAATATTGGTGTGGTTGAAACAGACTGCGAAAAGTAGTAAATTACTCAGCGTTGTTGCGATGCAAACCATTTTAGCCAGACAAGTCAGCCAATGTTCTTGTTTGTATGAAAGACAGGTTTGATATGATGCAAGTTTGTTTAGTTTAATGTAAGTGTTGTCTAATTTGTAAGATTGCTGCATTATTGCCAGTCTGAAATAGAGTACTTGTATGTTAGATAGAGGACCTTGGTTGAAATCAGGGTTCTTTAGTGGCACAGCCTTCTTCTAAAGGAGATTATTTTGCGAGACTTTCGTTTGTCTTATTTGAAAAGCAAGTAACATCGTTGCAGCACTTCCAATGCATAAAAGGAATCGACTAGTTTCTTGCGAACACCTAAAATGTCAGTAATTTATGATATTTTTACATTCTTTTTTCGCAAGAAGAATTAGGGACCAATAAATAACTCTTCTGTGTTGCAAAACACGGTATCCTTGAAATTTTGCATCGTTTCAGGAATCATGTTTAGAACAAACGAGTAAAAAGGGTTTTACTAGGTCAGCGCTATTGTTGTTGTATTTTCAGCCATCCGCTGAGACTAGTAGCATTTCTAAGAGGGAAGCAATATGAATCAGTGACGTGAAGTTGACGAACAGAGACCTCAACTCAAGGGGATTGGTAGCTGGGGAAAACGAATTCTGGCGGTTAAGAACGAATCCTCTGCGTTAATTGTGAAAACATAGATTAGGCCAAAAAAATTCCTTTGCATAAACATACTAAAAATATCGTGTGCAGAGCACTCGCAAATTATTACATCATGTAGGTCAAACCATCAAATGAGGGAACAAACTCTTTCGAATTACTGCCTTTAAAATTGATGACAGCAAATCTGTGTTTAAATATATGATATACGCTGCCAAATTGCTAATAACTCTAATTGATGCAAAATGTGAGCGAACATAAAAAGAACTGAACAGGGAAAACTGAAAGGAAGAGGTCATTTCCAGGTCTCTTATCGTAATGTACTCCAGTGGTTCAATGGGGAATCAAATAATGTTGACTACTGAATTTCCTTTTTTCCAGAGGTCCGCATGTAAGACCAACGAAATCCATCATTTTTACGTTCTGCCAATCATTCCAGACTAAGTGCACATTGTTGTGTTGTGTGCATCAATTCCATAACTGCATTCAATAAGTATAAAATTTAACTTGCATATCATAGATATTAGCGAGCAATGTGGTGTCAGGACTCTTTAACTGATAGCGAGAGTATATCAGCTGTCGATGAACAACCAAGTACAATTGCGTTTGGAGGCCTGTCGGTGTCAAATCACATGTTCACCAGTCCTTAAATCTGCAATGGAATAACCCATTATTGCAAGTTAATTGGTTTCAGATAATTGCAAACGATTTCGTCTGCAAGGTAAAAGGCATGTCCGGATTAAGGCTCAGACTCACCGACAAATGAATCGGCCCGGTTTTGCCACCCACTGCGCCTTGTTCACCTCCGTCTGTTCATGATTTTGAGTGTGACCGTTCGTCAGCAATACGCTATTTAAACCGTTGCTGAAGCCATCACCATTGGTCATTCCATTACTGTGAATATCGTAATGTGCCATTCTCAAGGAAATCAGTCGGGTTTGGACAATTTTATTCCTGGCTGAATGTCAACGGTTGTAGGTTTTGGAAGTTTCACTCGTACATTCCCAAATAGTAAACATGTGTGTAACCGTCAATTTATAGCACAACTAACACATTCCTAACGTTTTATCCCACTATTTTGTTTTTTTCCTGGTTGGCGCGTAGGTGTACACACGGGTCAAATAATACAACCAATAGCTGTGTCAGAACTGTGAGCCGCATTCACCCAATCAAAATGCAATAGGCTCTGAAAGAAGGATTCCATATTTTTGGATATAATGAGGAAAACGTACATGCGGATAAATTGCTTCTATTTTCTATAAGGAATAAACCTATTTTATAAAAATGGAAGTTCCTTCGATAACATATTAAAATGACTTTATTTGTAATTGGTAATTAAGTTCTCAGAAGAAATTACAGTCTTACTGGGAACATAGCATTTTCGGCAATCTCATTGAATCTCCCTAACCCATAAAAGAACATTCTGTATACAGCCGACTAACTAACGGTCTCATAGCATTATCTTTGCTTGGATCAATTGGGGATTCCAGAATTTGATAAGATATTGATTGTATATAGCTGCCAAGCCTCCAAGTATACGGCCTACAGATTCATATTTTGTTTGAGCTAAAAAGATACACTGAAATTCCGTAGACACGCGAAGTAGTTATCTTTATCATCCAAATGAATTCAGTTTTATCCTTTGGGTGGTATGAAAGGAACCCTGCAAAGAGAGAAAGTATTGCGGCTTTTCAACTGTCGAAATGATTTTGATCGACAACTAGATGCAATCTTTGTGATGCAATGACAGCAAACTATGCTTTGGTTCATAATCACCTGGTGACGTCATAAGTTACGGTAATCAACGTTGCTTGCTCCACAGAAGCAAATAAACATGGCGATAACAGATCACTGTTTGTGACTGTTTCTTCATCGATGACGTAAAAACTGATGAGCAAAGGTAGAAAAAGCCTGAGTTTCTGCATTCCTAAATCATTTGCTTTCTAAACATATCGACTGTAGATGACAATATGATGCCCAAAATGTTTGAATTGAACTATCATTTGTACATCAATCTTGATATTTCAGATGATTCAACACTGGGAAATATTTACCACAAACATAGTTGTCTTCACTGAGTTACAAAGAACAGTTTGGTTAATAAAAGTGTTTTAGTAGAGACAAGACAGCTCCAGTTGGCAAGGGCTGCAGTTCCATCGGCTAATCTGTCTACTGATTAACCGACACATTCATCAAGCGCACGGCGCTCCGGATACCCACTGCATACAACCAATACAAGTATATCTACCGAATTAACTGTGGACGCTCGGTCATCTGAGTAGGCAAGATAGAGAGATAGTTTCTTTACCGAAGCACTCAAAGATACGCTACGAATCGTTGAGTCATCAAATGTACAGAAAAAGGTCAGATATTACGTAATTCATCATGCATCATTTATACAATAAAACAATCGTTTTGACCAATATATTTTAAATCATCTACACCACAACGAAACACTGAAGTATTTCACCTTATTGAGGCCACAAATACATACAGTTCAAAATACAGTAAGTGATTGTTCTTGCCAGCCTTGCCTTCCTGATTGACCTTTACAGCCCGTGGCGTTTCTGTACCTTACATCGTTATCATTAGTCTTGCCCCCGTCATACATTTTCTTGTTTAATGGGCTATGTAGTACGAGTGTGTAATGATGCAGTATAGTGGCTTAGATCCATTGTGCAAACACACGCATATCACGTTCATCTTCCAGTTTGCGACGGAACGTCATTGTTTTCATTTTAAAAAGTTATTCTTTAATCATCATATTCTAGTTAGTAATTCACATGGGAAGTTTTATTTGGGTATAAGAATCCTCATAAAGCACATTTCCGATTCAATTAAACTTTTCCATTTGAAATGAATACTTTTGGTGGTTCTATTTTAATTGGTTACTCACCCCCTTGTTTGCACCCAACATCATCGTAACACAATCTGCCTTATTGTATAGAATAAATCGCGGATTATCGTTAATTTGGAATTTCAGATTGACGTTGTTTGATTTTAGAAAAGAAAATATACGGGACCTCGTCCTTTCAGTTAAGCGTCGGGTGTACGCATAATCCATTTCATCGCTTGCGAACGACAAGAATGAGAATGACATATCGATGCAGTAAATTGTACAACTTGAGTGACATTTCAGAATTACTCAGACTGAAATCTACCGGAGCGATTTCATAACATTTCGATAATCAATTGAAAAATAGACACCCTACTCCTAGAGGCGGCTCACGCTCTGTTTTCTCGACGCCCTACAAGGTAAACCACGGGATCCCACCACAATATCCGGTGTTTTCACATTTGATCATTCTCCTAAGTTGCTCGGGAATACGAACTCCGCCTGTCGATATCTAAGCTAGCTGCATCCGAAGATTTTTCTTCGATCAGAATCCACCGGACGAAATCTGGATCTGGATATGCCAGGTCGTGCAGTATACATTTTATTTACGGAGTTCATGAGCATCTATGTTTAAGTTGGATGAGTGAACAGATATGAAGGGCGTAGGAGCGAAAAGTAAAAATATGCTGTCATCGTCCATGGATGGGTTTGATGACCGCCAAGAGAACCGATTGTTTGAAAATTCAAACGGAACGAAAAGAGTTTTCATAAAAATTCTATGGAGTGAAATGAAAAATGAAATGCGTAACTGCTTCTGTGTTTTGGTTTCATACATTTGTTCTAACTAATTCACAACATTCAGGGCGGCTATGTGCAACACGAGGAATGAAAAGATCCTCCGATACTCGAATGAAAATTAAACTAGCAATTTGCTTTAGTAGGATGTTTTCTTTACGTGTACACGCCAAACAGTTGGATAGATTAATACGCTACTCACGAATGACAGACAGATTGAATCATTGATAGTCATGATAATGTCACGCAAATAGTTTTAGACATGCAACAAAGAAGGGGAACAGTCTGTCGAACATTGAAAATGGTGAGGTTGAGAAGTAACTGCTTCAATCCGCCATCAACCAATTTCAAATTCTAAGCAAACCTAGCCTTTCAGTCATGCCCTGAAGGATCTCTTCAGCATATGGCTTTCGTAAATGAAAGGTTTATTGACTGCCTGCAAGGATATGGCAAGCTCGTCGCATTGATTAGAACAAAGCGGAGTGCTCGAAAAATATAGCTTCTAAGATATGGCTTGGGGCAATTCGGCAAATGAACGTGAATTAAGTATCCTGAATTATCTAGTGCACGCTGTTTAATGTTGCTAGATCACACACACGGACATATATACATATATATGTGTGTTTGTATATTCAAATTATGTATGTATTATAGGAATCGATAAGGATTCGTCCGATAGCAAGATGTTTCGGCTACTGCTTTTTCCTCATAATCTGTAACAGTGGTATATTTCGTACACGGGTAATTAAACTGTTTGGAGCCATCTGTGCCTTTGAAAATGACACTTACATTTCAAAGTTTCGATACCGAGCGAGAAATTATTTCAAATGGAAAGGTGCTATGATGAGGTAGATCAAAAACAGCGTTTAAAAGGAGACTGTTGTAGCTCCGCTGGCATATATTGCTAGATGATGGATTCCGGTCCAGGTACCGGCAAATTCTTACAGATTTATTTGACTTGCTGTTTCCAATTTGTCATTAGCATCTACAAAATATTAGCTCATTATTCACTAACGATTTTAAAAGCAAATTACGTCTACGCAGGTTTTAAGGTGACACGAACAAATGAATTGGGTTTTCATTCACCGATGTTGCATTTATGAAAAATGTAAAAAACACTTTTATTTCCAATGATGAAATGTTAAAAGAAAAGACCATATTGCATTATTACACGATTTATACCCAGGACGATGTCATTGCACCATGCTGCATATTGCAGAAAATGCAACGTTTGTATAGTGGTGTAGCATGGCAACAAAGTAAAGTAAAATACATTAAACAGACAAAACATAAAAAGGGAGGACGGGGTGTAAAAGAACCATTTCATCAGGTTGAGGATAGACTAACAAAAAGTTCTTTCTTTTGAAACAGAGCGGGCCTCCAGTGATTTCTAACCAGACTTCAGCGGTTTTCATAATTAGTTTGATCCCCGGATTTCAAAACAACGTGCTTTTTAACCAATCAGCCACACCCCATTCAAACACGAATGTAGTGATTTGTCACAGAATAGCAACTCTTAGCTTTATTCCAGTGAAAACAGATGCCGAGTAGTTTCTTGGTATTTCTGATCAAGAGCATTCTCTGAGAGTTGCTTTTCTCCCACAATCGACACTGTACAACGGAGCAGGAACTGCTCCACATACCAATACGTAAAAGTACAAAATAAAATCCAATTTGCCTTATCATTGTCACCGAAATCTTCAGAAATAAGACAGATTCAACAAATTCACGGAAATTGAGGTAGGCAATGGGCAAAAACACCCATAAGCGCAGAGTTTGCATGGTTTGCCGTAAGCACGTCATGCGTCATTTCGCTAATTGTGTAAACAAGCAATAAATGTACATTCCATCTGAAAATCTGCGCGAGACGTGATGTAATCAGACGTAAACTGTAGAGCAACGTTGCACACATTGTCAGCTTTCACTCGATTGTTTTATATGCGGACCGTTCACATTCGACATAACAAACTGCTTCGGAAACGGTACTCCGCTCTCTCTGTCGCACACGCGTAGAACATACTGCTTTATTGTTGTCTACTTGTGAAGAATCCCTCGAGGATTGTGAAAAGAATTTTTCTTCGAGTTGCGTTCAGCAATAAAAATTATTATGTTGCACTTGAATGGAACTAACAGGCATGCTTAATTATTGAATTTTCAAGGAAAAATAAGGCAAAATTTACATCGTGGGCGAACAGAACCGTCTCATATACATAGGGACACGGTATACAACAAGGTACAGCATAATTTGCGTCTAACAAATGCTTTTCCGATGTTATCGGTCACACT